ATTCATTCATGCCACGCATAGTTCTCCAGCCCTGCTGCGTTCCTCGGCTGGGTGCCGGGGTGTAAGCGGCGGATATAACAGCCAGGATACGTCCCAGTCCTCAAGGAGGTACATGTAAATAACACACGTGATGGTGACGCGGGGTTCAGAAACTGGCACGGGCTACGGGCAAAACTAGAAGGCAAACGAGTGTGGGGTGCTGGTGGCCTGGGGGGGGGGAGAGGAGGAGGTGGCTTGTGAACTGAGAACTGAAGGAGGTGAGGGGTGAACTTGGGGACGTCTAGGGGACAGGCACTGCAGGCAGAAGGCACGGCCTATGCAAAGGCCCTAGGGCAGGACTGTGCCGGGGGTGTTGGAGGAAGAGTGAGGAGGCTGGTGGGGCTGAAGCAGTCAAGAGGGGAGGGGAGGGGAGGGGAGGGGAGGGGAGGGAGGGGACGGGGCAGGACACACAAGGCCTTCTGGGCTGTAGAGAGGATTTGGGCTTTTTCCCCAAGGCGGGTGGGAGCCATGGAGGGCTGTGGGCAGAGGAGGGGCGGGACCTGACTTAGGGGTTCACAGGCGCCTTCTGGCTCAGGGGGTAGCCTGATGACCAGGGCAGAGGGGACTATGCTTGTCTTGATGGTGGGATCAGACCAGAGGCAGATCTGGGATGGATTCTGAAGACAAAGGCGCTCAAGATGCGGGGAGGGCAGGACCAGCTCTTCAGTTCCAGGAGGGGCGCGTATCAGCCCCGTGGGGTCTTCTCACCTGTGTCCCACCCCAATCATGTCAAACACATTTATAGGAGCCCAGAGCCCACATTCAACACCAGTTTAAAGGAGCTTGTGGGGGTACAGTTGTGTTTAAGCTGGCAGCGAGAACACCTTCCTTTTCTCAGTGAGGTGTTTTCGCTCCAATCTCCAAGACCACTGAGAAAGTCTTAAGGGAACAAATTGCCATTTTCCCAAACGATAGTTATTCTTAGGAGAAGAAGTAATACTTCTTTTAGCATCTGCTACTGCCAGGCCCTGGGAAGTCATCTCCTGGGCCTCAGTTTCCTCATCTGTAAAATAGGACTAATGCCTAACAGAGCTCACACAGGGCTGTGCAGACTAAAGTGAGCCAAAAATAACAACTGTGCCTGCCTGGCAGGTGGGAAAAGCTTGATGTTCCCCCTCCTCCTTTTTTTTTTTTTTTTTTTTTAATGTCTTGTGAATGTTTTCTTGGCTCACTCAAGAGCTTAGAGACCCCCGGCAGCGGGGCCTGGGTCAGCGCCAGCCCAGGCCAGCGTTATTTATTTATTTATTTTTGATACAAAGTCTCATTCACTCCGTCTCCCAGGCTGGAGTACAGTGGCGTGATCTCGGTTCACTGCAACCTCCACCTCCCGGGTTCAAGGGATTCTCGTGCCTCAGCCTCCCAAGTAGCTGGGATTATAGGCGCCTGCCAGAACACCTGGCTTATTTTTATATTTTTAGTAGAGACAGGGTTTCACCGTGTCGGCCAGTGTAGTCTCAAACTCCTGACCTCAAGTGATCCGCCAGGCTCGGCCTCCCGAAGTGCTGGGATTACACGCATGAGCCATGGCGCTGGGCCAGGACGGGGTTCTTGGAGCCTTGTCTCTGCTGAGGATGTCTCTAGAGATGGGTTCTCGGGAAGCAAGTGCATGCCCCACAGCCCCCAGGCACCTCTCCTGGGCCAGGAGGCTCCTGATCGCCCACTGCTCTCCCTCACAGCAGGCCTTTACTGTCGCTGTGTGCTCTGCCTGGACCACCCTCCCGCTGGGCACACCTGGAAAAGCCTCTTCATCTTTGGGCCCTCTCTGCTGTGCCGCCTCCTCCTCTAGGAAGCCCTCCTAGCTCCCCAGGGAGGCTCTGCCCCTCAGTTCCAGTCCTGACTGCCTGGGGCTGGGAAGGGCTCCATGAAGTTCAGGGTGAACTCCGGAAGGGTCCCCCACAGCCCCCCCGGGGAGCCCGCTGGGGCAGATGTTCTAGACTGGGGTCCTCTTGCGTGTGGGGCAGGAGTGACATCAGCCGTCCACAACCTAGTAAATGTTTATGGGCCAGGGGGCCTGGGCTTTGGGGTTCCCTGGAGCCTAGCAAGAGGCCACCCCCTCCTGTTCCATTCTGGGGGGCCTGTCCTGCAGGCGGGGTGGGGGGGGGCCTGGCAGGCCTGCGCCAACCTTGGCAGCTGGCCCGGAATGGGCTGGGTAGGTGGCGAGCACAGCCCCTGATCTGAGCCGTTGGCTCCCTTGAACACGGGGGCACCTGGGGCTGGGAAGTGCGAAGGGGCTTGTTGCCTTTACATTTCCAGTTCCCCCACCCCGGGCGGGCCTGAGTGTGTGATCCGTGGAAGAGGGCTGAGAGATCCGGTACAGGGTTTGGGCCACACCTGGGCCTGGAGGGCTGGGGAAGGGGGAGCGGAGGCCTGCGTGGAACTGGTCCCAGAAGCGACTGTGGTGCAGGGCTGAGGGTGACCGTCGTGGGGACTTGGACTAGTCTTTTCTCCTGTCCAGCCTTCGGTGTCCTTGGCTGGAGATTTGGGGCTATACTGCCTATTCCTAGAAGCTGTCACCTGGCTGCTGCAGGCAGGATGGGAAGGAAGGGGGATGAGGGACAGACAAGGACTCGAGTGCGGAGGAAGGGATGGAATCTGACGCCTGTCGTCACTGCGGGGCTGGGGGCCTGGGGATGACCACCCGGGTCCACGCTGCCTGACAGGCCGTGCCGCGGTGGGCGCTGCCCCCTGCCGGCCGCAGTAGAGACAGAGGAGGAGGCTGGTGCCCTTGAGTGGATGGGATGCCTGCAGGGAGCTGGAATTTTCGTTGCGAGGCGTCTCTGAGGGGCCCTGATTCCCATTTACTAGGTGGAAAAGCCGAGGAGTGGGAGCTGCCATCCTCTGAGGACAGAACAAGGAAAGAATCAAGTGCTGGGATTTGAACCCAGAGCCTTTGTTTTAACGACGACTCTGTTAGGGCCTGGACAGGTGTCAGGACCCCTGCCCCTCTGGGGCGGGCTAGGCGTGTCCACCCTTTCTCAGGGAGCCCGAGGCCCGGGCACCCAGCTCCGGAAGTGGACATGACTCTGAGCTACTGCAAGCCCACCTTGGGCTGGAACACATGTGGACATCTGTGCTCTCTCCAGAGAGGACGTTCGAGGCAGGGGCTGAAAGAAGGGACCCAGAATCTCTGCACACAGTGGCTGGGCACAGTGGCTCATGCCTATAAACCCAGCACTCTGGGAGGCCGAGGTGGGAGGATTGCTCGAGGCCAGGAGTTTGAGACCAGCCTGCACATCACAGTGAGATCCTATCGCTACAAAAAATAAAAACAAAAACAATTAGCTTGCTGTGGTGGTGCACACCTGCAGTCCCAGCTACCAGGGAGGCCTGAGATGAGAGGGTCGCATGAGCCAGGGAGGTCAAGGTTCCAGTGAGCCATGATCCTGCCACTGCCCTCCAGCTTGAGAGACAGAGCAAGACTATGTCTCAAAAAGACGAATTTTTTAGCAGAGACAGGGTCTCACTGCGTTGCCCAGGCTGGTTCCAAACTCCTGGCCTTGAGCAATCCTCCCGCCTCCACTTCCCAAAGTGCTGGGATTACAGGCTCAAACCACCAGGCCCAGCCTACAAATTTTTTTTTTTTTTTTTTTTTTTTTTTTGAGACGGAGTCTCGCTCTGTCGCCCAGGCTGGAGTGCAGTGGCCGGATCTCAGCTCACTGCAAGCTCCGCCTCCCGGGTTCACGCCATTCTCCTGCCTCAGCCTCCCGAGTAGCTGGGACTACAGGCGCCCGTCACCTCGCCCTGCTAGTTTTTTGTATTTTTTAGTAGAGACGGGGTTTCGCCGTGTTAGCCAGGATGGGCTTGATCTTGTGACCTCGTGATCCGCCCGTCTCGGCCTCCTAAAGTGCTGGGATTACAGGCTTGAGCCACCGCGCCCGGCTGCAAAATATTTTTAAAAAATTACCCGGGCATAGTGGCGGTGGCCGTAGTCCCAGCTACTCGGGAGGCTGAGCGGGGAGGATTGCTTGGATCCAGGAGTTCCAGGCTGAGTTACTACCTGGAGGCAGACAGATAAGGATATGAGGCTGAAAGTCTGGCTTTTCACCACATCTAGGCCCCATGGGTGGGCTTGAGAAAAGGGAAGAGATGGGGCTGGACATGGGTGAGGAGCGGGCAGGAGGGCTACAGCCAGTTCCGCCAGCTCCTGCTGTCCCCGGCCTGCCAGCAGGGCCCAGAGCCATCCCAGCGGGGGCTGCGCACAGCTCCGCTCCCCTGGGTGGAGCCTGATGCGCCCTAATTTACAGTCCACTGCAGCATGTCGGAGCTCGCAGGCTTCCTCTCCAGCTGCCAGGGAGCACGAGCCAGTTCTGGAGAAGGGGCCCGGGGTGGTGCCAGCATTCCAGGGCCACCTAAATCACCGGCCTGACAGGTGGCGGGAAGGGATTGCAATTCTTTCCCTTGTCGCTGCCACCAGCCAGGTGCTGAGGGGCGTCCTGTCCCACTCTGCCTCAGCCCCAGGGGCTCCGAGTGACCTGTCGGATGGGGACGGCTGCTGGGCCAGCCTGTCCGGGGCTCTCCGCTCCAGTGCCCAGGAATTTGGAGATGGGGCCTGGGCGTGTTTTCCACATGTTGTTGGCTTTGGGGACAGGCCCAGAGAAGGGATAGCTCAAGATCTGCAGGGGGGTTGTGACCAGAGCCGACAGCGCTGAGGGAAGGGCCGTGGGCGGCGGGGCCCAGCTTCCACTTGCTGGCAGGTCACTGGCATGCTCCCGCCCTGCCCTGGGAACTGGGGGAAGCAGAGGCTGGGACGCATCCCAGCCATCTCCCCTCCTGGCTCCCGATGGCCCTAGCCTGATGCACTACCACTTCTGTGGGGCCAGGCTGGTACACTTGGCAGGGACGGCGGGCGGCAGGCAGGCGCGTGTGCGGGGGGCTTTATCTTATCTCCCTTCCTCGCTCCCTCCCAGATCCGCCCTCGCTGGCTGCTGTGTCGCCGTCACCAAGCTCTCCGGACACGGACACACACATAGACACAGAATTTATTTTTGGACGCATTCTGCGGGCTGGAGGTCCCGGCTGGCACAGGGCTCACACCTTGGGTTTTGCAAACACTTCCCAGCCCTCCAGCCGGCCCATCTTGACCAGGGAGGCCACTATGCCCAAGAATACGCAGGCGCTGGCGCCGATCCCGTAGTTGTGCGCTGTGGGAGGGGGGAGGTGATGTCAGGGCCCGGTGTGGCTCGGCCGGACCAAGATGCTCCACGCCCTGGCCAGTGCCTACCCTGGGAGCCAGAGTGAGACCCCTGACAGGACACTCTCTTCAGGGATTAAGTCACTCAGGAGGAGGGCCCTAGACTCTGGAGATGTGGAAACTGACACACACAGGGAGACTGGAGTCCAGGTCGCTTCCCAGCAGGAACCCAGGCTGTGGGTCCTCATCCTGCCCCACACTGATGGCTTCCTACAAGAGGGACACTGTGCTGCTCCCGCCTGGGGCTGCGGCAAGGCTGGGCACCGGGCAGTGGTGACACATCAGTGTGTCTCAGTCTCTCCTCTGCTCATGGATGCCAGGACCAGGCCATGCATCTGTCCCGTGGTCGGTGTACCGAGGAGCCTAGACGGTGCCCCCACCTCCCCGGGCTCTCCTGCTCCAAAGCCCCTGGGCCAGAGGAGGAAGAAGGTGTGTCCCACACACCAGGACCTACAGGGACTCACACCCTTAGAAGAGAGACAGGGAGGCTGGCTTGGGGACAGGGAGCAGTTCCAGCCCAAGCTAGGCTACAGTCAAGCCCTCAACCCACCTCCAGCCTCTGACCAGTTCCAGTGGGAGCTGGGGAGGGACAGGGCCTCCCCAAGGTCTCGATGCAGAGACAGAACAGGCCCTGCCCTCGCACCCTCCCTCTCTGCCTGCCCGGAACCTGCCATCCATCACTCCCAACATGCCAGGCCGGAGCGGCTGAGTTGCAAGAAGGCTCATTCACTCCTCCCGCTGGCCCTGAGGGCCCGAGCCTTGGTGGGCTGAGGGTAGGCCAGGGGCACAGGCGGGCACTGACCCTGAGCCTGGGCCCGTGGGAGAGCAGGAGGAGTGGTGTCTGGCTCATGCTCCAAGTGGCTTCCCCTGTGCCAAGCGGGGCCTCCTCCACCAGGGCTGCACCCTCTGATGGCTGCAAAGAAGGCCACTTGCTCCTCCAGGTGACTTCGGGCCAATTCATTCCCTCCCTGCGCCCTAATGCCCTTTTCTGTAAAGTGAAGGTTGTGGGGGCAGCTCCCCTGCAGGGCTCCAGGTGCAGGGAGAGAGCGGGCAGGGCGAGGACCAGCATCTCCTCTCTGACTCACAGGCCAGTGGCAGAGACAGGTGGTGACCTTGGTGACCTGTGTCCTCTGACAAGGCATGCAGAAGGAAGGGGACACAGAGTGAGGGTGGCGGGGATGCTGGCTTGTACACAGGTTGGTCAGGACAGTGAGGGGAACAGCATTCCAGGCAGCGCACTGCCATGCAAAGGCCCTGGGGCAGGACTGTGCCTGGCATGTGGGAGGAACAGCAAGGAGGCCTGTGTGGCTGGAGCAGAGTGAGGAGGGGAGGGTGGAAAGGGGACAGGGCAGGTCAGGGAGGGCCCTAAGGGCTGAGATGAAGGCTTAGCGTGGTGGTACACAGTAAGTGCTTAAGCAGCAGCAGCAACTGTCGCTACGACTGAAATGGCTGGTGTTCAAGAAGGCTGCTTTGCTCCTTGTCTGGGATGGAACAGAGAGGGTGGAGGATGAGCAGAGGTCAGGGGTCCTTCTGCCAGCCTGGGAGGAAGGTGGGGGTGGGGAGCGGTCCACTCACTACGTGCCCCCAGAGTCAGGCCTCCGGCGCAGCCACCGAGGAAATAGTTCAGGGGGTCGTCGGGCTTCTCGCGGACCTGGGCGCTGATGCAGGAGGTGAGGCCAAACACGGCCCCGACAGCAGCTGCAGGGTAGATGGGAAGAGTTGGCGCTGAGCAAGGGCCTGAGAGGGGCGCGGCAGGAGCCTCTTGGGCGCTCACTGCCAGCGTCTAGATGGAGACAGACGCCACGTGTCAACCACTTGCTGTGCATGGCAGCTTCCCGGCCCCAGTCCTGGAGTTGGTGTCCTGGGCCTCCCTACCCTACATGTGTTCCCGATAAAGGAACACCCGACTTTCTCCTGGTGGCCGGCACTGGGGACACAGCTGGGGAGTGAGGGAGAAGAGGCAGCTGTGAAATGTGCTCCGAGAGCTGCGGCTGTGCCAGGAGAGGGCCCAGCCATGCCTAGACCAGCTTGCTCACCTGCAGTGAACGTGTATTGTCCGACCTTAGCCACTCCTTCAAGGAAGGTGCCCGGAGGATTGAGTGTGACTCTGTAGGCAGCGGCGGTCAGGCCTGCGAGACAGAGGGGAGGGAGGCTGCTCAGACCCCATTGCTGCTAAGCCCTTGCTTGGCCGGGCACCCCACTGGGTGGTCTCTCCCTCAGTCCTCATAATGCCCCCCAGGTGGCTCCCAGTAGCCCCCCTTCTTTGCCCATGGTGCCTCCGGCTGCTGAGTGGCAGAGTTGGATTTGAACTCGGGTTTGCTGCTCCAAAGTTGGGAGGCCTCTCACTTCCTTCCCCACTCCCTGCCAGGCCTCCCTTAGCCACTTTCTCAAGCCTGACCAGTACTGGCTCCTGCAGAGCACCTGCTGGGCGCCCATCAGCCATGTTGGCCCTAGCTGGGCACTGGCCGGCAGATGGAGACTCATCCACATGGTGGACACAAGAACAGGCCTGAGACCTTGGTTCTGCAGCTGCTTCCGGCCTGCTCAGCTCAGCGGCGCCCCCTACAGGCCCTGGCACCAGGGCCCCAGCTCTGGGTTCCCATCAATGGCTCTATTCTCCTGTGGGGCCCGGGGCTCCTGGGCCTAATCCCCCTTGGCAGCCGCTCTGCTTCCCTCCCTGGCTGCCAACGCCTCCTCCTTGCCACTCTCGACCCCCTCCTGCTGGCAGCTCGGGCCTGGGCTCGTTCTGCACACCTGGCTGCCTGGGTACCACCCCCGCTGCCCAGCCTCACCCCTCCAGTCAGCTTTTCCATCTCTGCCATCTCCCCCGGCCGCCTGGCCCCTGACATTGGCTTCTATGCATGAGGAGCCTGGGCAGGGGCTGGGCCCAGAACCCAGGGCCAGGTAGGTGGCAGGGACAGAGGTTTGATCCCAGCCCACCGTCCCTGTTGGGAGCCTAGGGGCCTCACTCACCCTCCTGAGTGAGGCCCAGCAGGCCATTAGGCTGCCTCCTCCCAGAACCCACCCAGCTTCACCAGCCCCTCCACGGTGGATGGGCAGATTGAGCCAGCCCGAGCTGGGGCTCCCCAATCCTCCGCCTGAATGCTCCGGGCAGATGAGCGCCCCCCTCCTCCCTACAGCCTTGAAACGTGGCCCAGTTGCAGGCAGGGACCTCCTGCGGCCAGCCCATCCCAGACAAAACAGAACTGCCAGGGATGGGCCACAAGGGCCCTCATCCTCCTCAGGGCCTGATGGGCTCAGTCCTGTTATCCCCTCCTTCACGGGAGGTGAGGGGACCTCCGAGATGTAAAGCAATTCTCCAGAGGTCACCAGCACAGTGAGCCTGGACGCCAGGCAGGTCTGACCACAGCCCATGCTTCAACTGCCACGACTGCCCCAGGGGAGTAGGTTCCACCCCAGTTCCCCATCCAGCTTCACGGGACCCATGGGCCTTGCCAGGCCTGGCAGTAACCCCCCCAAATAGCACCCTAGCCTCAGATCCAGTCCAGCTCATATTGGTTCTGTCCCTCAAGAGCAACTGGGGGGACTCACATCCAGCAGTGGGGTTCATATTCAGAGCAGCCCAGAGGAGGGACCGTCTGCTTCCCACAAGCACAGATGGGGAAACAGGCCCAGGATGCAGAGAAAGGGACCGAATATAAAAAGTGCCTTGTGGATCTGGTTTCTCCTAATCCCACACCAACCCCTGGGATCCCTGCTCGACCTCAGAAAGGTGGATGGAGGACCAGGTGTGGTGGCTCACGCCTGTAATCCCAGCACTTTAAAAGGCCAAGGTGGGTGGATCATTTGAGGTTAGGAGTTTGAGACTAGCCTGACTGACATGGTGAAATCCCATCTCTACTAAAAATACAAAAATTAGCCAGGTGTGGTGGTGCAAGTCTGTAGTACCAGCTACTCGGGAGGCTGAGTCAGGAGAACGGCTTGAATCCGGAAGGCGGAGGTTGCAGTGAGCCGAGATCATGCCACTGCACTCTAGCCTGAGAGTGCAGTGGCACTATCTTGGCTCACGGCAAGCTCTGCCTCCCAGATTCACGCTATTCTCCTGCTTCAACCTCTCGAGTTGGGTCTACAGGCACCCACCACCATGCCCGGCTAATTTTTTGTATTTTTAGTAGAGACAGGGTTTCACCACGTTAGCCACGATGGTCTTGATCTCCTGACCTCATGATCCACCCACCTCAGCCTCCTGAGTAACTGGGATTACAGGCGTCCGCCACCATGCCCAGCTAATTATTATTATTATTGTATTCTTAGTAGAGACAGGGTTTCACCATGTTGTCCAGGCTGGTCTTGAACTCCTTACCTTGGGTGATCCGCCTGCCTCAGCCTTGAAGATTCTTAATGAGAGGGGACTGACAGCCCTGCCTGGGACCTGATGAGTCCTGATCCAGAGCTGGGCCAGCCATGAGTTTTTTTTTTTTTTTTTTTTTTTTGAGACAGAGTCTCGCTCTATCGCCCAGGCTGGAGTGCAGTGGTGCGATCTTGACTCACTGCAAGCTCCACCTCCCGAGTTCACACCATTCTCCTGCCTCAGCCTCCCAAGTAGCTGGGACTACAGGTGCCCGCCACCATACCCGGCAATTTTTTTGTATTTTTAGTAGAGATGGGGTTTCATCATGTTAGCCAGGATGGTCTCGATCTCCTGACCTTGTGATCCAACTGCCTCGGCCTCCTCCCAAAGTGCTGGGATCACAGGCGTGAGCCACCGCGCCCGGCCTTTTTTTTTTTTTTTTTTTTTGAGACAGGGTCTTGCTCTGTCCCCCAGACTGGAGAGCAGTGGCACAATCTTGGCTCACTGCAAGCTCTGCCTCCTGGGTTCATGCCATTCTCCTGCCTCAGCCTCCCCAGAAGCTAGGACTACAGGCGCCCGCCACCACACCTGGCTAATTTTTTGTATTTTTAGTAGAGACGGGGTTTCACCGTGTTAGCCAAGATGGTCTTGATCTCCTGACCTCGTGATCCGCCCACCTTGGCCTCCCCAAGGGCTGGGATTACAGGCGTAAGCCTTGGCGCCTGGCTGCCATGAGAGTCTTATAACCCTCTCATCTCAAGAGGGAACTACAGACAAGACTCAGTGACGCCCCCAGAACCTAGTCACCGAGGGACTCCTGGTCGGAACCTCCTTATGCCACCCCCATATGCCAGTGGTCCTGGCCAAGAGACCCCTAGCCGCTCATGTAGCACGGCTGACACCGTGAGCGTGCCCACCATCCTCCATCCCTTCCAAAGTCCTTGAACTGAGAGTGGACGAGCTGCGACCCCCTGATCATCCCATAGAGGTCAAGGACTGCCCCACCCCAACTCTGCTACAGCTGTCATCCAGTTGTGGTGTCCTGCCATATCCACCCCTCCAGGAGCCCTCAGAGCCCTTCAAAAGGCCCCCTTCCCTCTGCTGGTTCTCTCTGAGCCTCCCACAGGGACCACCAGACCCAGTGTGAATTCATTCATTCATTCATTCAGCTACTGTCGCTCATTCTCCTGCATTCATTCATTCATTCAGCCACTGCCACTCATTCACTCTCATTCATTCATTCAGCTACTGCCACTCATTCACTCCATTCATTCATTCAGCTACTGCCACTCATGCACTCATTAATTCACTCATTAATTCACTCAAAGTTACCGAGTACCTAACAAGGTGCCACATTCACTCATTCTTTCACTCACAAATGATACCCACAAGATGCTTCATTCATTCATTCATCCATAGTTATCGTGTGCCCACAGGTCCTGGGCTCTGCTGAGTACAGTATCCCCGTCGTCCAGGGCCCCCAACTCAGGGAAACCAGCCATGAAACAATTTATCTCCCTCAGATGAGAAGTTAGGGGAGCCCCGGAATGAAGTGAGTGGGGCAGTGAGGGGAGGACCCAGAAACAAGTTTCAGCCAAGTTCTGTACACTGAGTGGAGCTGTCACTGAAGAATTTAGGGAGAAGGCCGGGTGTGGTGGCTCATGCCTGTAATCCCAGCACTTTGGGAGGCCAAGGTGGGCAGATCACCTGAGGTGAGGAGGTCCAGACCAGCCTGGCCAACATGGTGAAACTCTGTCTCTACTAAAAACACAAAAATTAGCCAGGCATGGTGGCAGGCACCTGTAATCCCAGCTACTTGGGAGGCTGAGACAGAAGAATAGATTGAACCTGGGAAGCAGAGGTTGCAGTGATCCAAGACTGCACCACTGCACTCCAGCCTGGGTGACAGAATGAGACTCTGTCTCAAAAAAAAAAAAAAAAAAAAAAAAAAACCTTAGGGAGAACGAATGTCACTCTTGAAGACCCCTGGGCACCCTTGGAGGGCTCACAGAAGCCCTGACCACCCCTAAATCTAAATGTGATGCCATCAGAGGTCCCCTGACATGGCGACTCTGTCAAAAGTTCCGACCTCCCCCTCTAAGATCCCTAGGGAGCCCCCCTGGTCCCAGAAGTCCTTCACTCATCAGCACCACACCCCGAGACAAGCTGTCTCCTCCTTCCAGCCCCATCTGGGACCTGATGAGTCCCAACCTGTGGCTGAGAATTAAAGGACATGATGCCCATGAAACGCTCAGGCTGGAAGGGGCAAGACTCAGGTCTACCCTATAAGAGAATGCCAGGGCCTGCCGGGCGTGGTGGCTCACGCCTGTAATCCCAGCACTTTGGAAGCCTGAGGCGGGCGGATTGCCTGAGGTCAGGAGTTCCAGATCAGTCTGGCCAACATGGTGAAACCCCGTCTCTACTAAAAAATACAGAATAATTAGCCGAGCGTAAGCTACTTGGGAAGCTGAGGCAGAGGAATTGCTCGAACCAGGGAGGTGAAGGTTGCAGTGAGCCGAGATCGCGCCACTGCACTCCAGCCTGGGCGACAGAGCAAGATTCTGTCTCAAAAAAAAAAAAAAAAAAAAAAAAAAAAAGAGAGAGAGAGAATGCCAGGACTTGTGGGTCCCTCTTACTCCCCTGCAAGACTATCCTCATAGTAGCTCCTGATCCACCTCACCTAGGACCTCTCTGGCAGTCCCAGTAAAAGCTTCAGGTGTCCCTAACCACTCAGCAGCCCCTGACCACAGAAAGACCTCATCCCACCCCAGAACTTTCTCAAACTTTTGTACCGCCCTCAGATGCCCTAATCATGACTCATGATCACCTCTAACAATCTGCTACCCCGTTGGAAAGTCTCGTGGTCCCCTAGCTCCTTGGACCTGATAATGGCCATGTCTCACTCCACAATTTCCCCGAGCCTGGCGATCGCTTGGGACCGCCTTAGACGACCCCAGGGACTAGTTTGTCGCATGTCACGACCTCCCAGTGCTCCCCAACCCTGCTAGATTCCCTACCAACATCCATTTCACACAAGATCCCCCCTCTACGGCTGCCCAAGACACCCCGATGACGACCACGTGCGTACCCGCGAGACTCCCAGCCCCGTTCGATTCAAACCGACAGCCCCCAGTGACCCCATGACCTCCCAGCGGCCTCGGCCCTCCACCCTCCGGGTCCGGTCGGCGCTCACCAGCGACGCTGGCAACACTGGTGGTGGCGTAGGCTTTGCGGTGGCAATCGGTGCCATCGGGGATTTCCCAGTACTGATGAAAAACCTTCGGCGCCATAGCCTGCTACCCCGATCCCACACCTCAGACTCCGCCGGCTCGGTAAGAGCAAGGGCAGACGCAGCTGGCTATCGCGAGACTTCTCGGGCTGCGCGCGCAACCTCTCGGGCTAGCGGGCCGGCAACAAGTGAGCAACTTTATTGACAGCCGCGGACATGGACACGGATCGCGCCACGCGCCAGGGACTGGCCTGGTGGAAGAGAGCAGCACGTGCACCCCCAGGCCGATTCCCAGAAGGTAAAACTGAGGACGACTGCGATCAGTGCAGACAGATTTCGCTAGTCCCAGCTCAGGGAATCCTAGGTTAGGGACGGTTTGACTACCAGAGGTGGGGACTAATCTACTAGGGGAGGGGCCAGGCTCAGACTGGGACGGGCGGGGCTGCAGTTGATAGCAGCGAGACAAAACGAGACAATGGCTGTGGGGCGGGGCTTGGCAGGGATGTGGCCACACCGAGTGTCAGAATCTGTATTGCGAGTGGTCATGCCCTGTGGTCAGTCACCAAGCTGGAGTCTAAGCCGCGTGCTACTGTTTTGGGCCATGGACAGGATCAGGGGCGGGGATTATCGGGATGATGACCAATGACAATACTAGACGGAAAAGTGACCAATGACAATACTAGAAGCTCCGCGGGACGTGGCCTCTGTCCAACCAGTGGCTATTCCACGCCCTAGGCCGGATGAAGTACCCAGGCGCTTGACTTGAGGGCGTGGCTAGAATTGGAGGGAGAACCTAAAAGGGACTTGACCAATCCGAGACTGTATAAAGGATAAAGGGGCGAGGCCGTGCCTGGATCTGCCCCTGACAGGCAACATGCTGTTTCGCGGAGTCCGGGCCAATCCTGGTGTTAGCTTCCAAGTAGGGCGGGGACAGTATCGAAGGTGTGACCAATCCCGTTTCCAGAGCCTGAGTTGCGCTAGCCGCCAAAGGATGTGGCCAGCCTGGGGGCGTGGCTGTCAAGATCTTGTCCAATCCTAGAGTGAGCCCAAACTCAGGGGCGGAGTTTCATGATCCCGGAACCGGTGGTAGTGTTTGGGTTTGAGGAGAGCGCGACCTAGCCCTGTGGGGCGGAGTCTAGCGGGGTCAGCGACCAATCGCGCCGAGGCTCAGAGGGGCGGGGCCACCCCAGGGGCGGGACCTTGCCAGTTCCGGGCCGCCCGGGGGCGTGGCCGGGCCTGGACAGCGGCCTGGGCCATGGCGGCGCCGCCTGCCCTGCAGATCCGGGAGGCGAACGCACACTTGGCGGCCGTACACCGGCGCGCGGCGGAGCTGGAGGCGCGGCTGGACGCGGCGGAGCGCACGGTGCACGCCCAGGCCGAGCGCCTGGCTCTCCACGACCAGCAGCTGCGCGCTGCCCTAGACGAACTGGGTCGCGCCAAGGACCGGTAAGGACCGGTGAGGCCCGGGGCCGGCCGGGTGGACTTCACCGAGGCGGTGGGCGGAGGCAGAGCCGAGGCTGGAAAGCAAGGAAGGGTAGGGGGAACCGTGTGCACTCGTGTGGAAGCTAGACTGATTATGGGATTGATAAAAACACCAAAAAACTCTAATTAGTAATCAGTATGTAAAGTTGAGAGAAGTGACACAGGTGTGGGCCTCTAACTTCAAACAGGCCCACTTTCCCACAGGTGCTAAGCGACGCAGGGACCACAGACCGCCCAGCGTAGGCACTGGGAGCCATAGCAGGCTCTTCAGCTGGGGAAGAGGGGATCATATCAGCATTTTTTTTTTTTTTTTTTTTGAGATGGAGTCTCCCTCTGACGCCCGGGCTGGAGTACAGTGGCACAATCTCAGCTCATTGCAACCTCCGCCTCTCAGGTTCAAGCAATTCTCCAGCCTCAGCATCCCGAGTAGCTGGGATTATAAGCACCTGCCACCACACCTGGCTAATTTTTTTTTGTATTTTTAGTAGAGAGAGGGTTTCACCATACTGGTCAGGCTGGTCTCGAACTCCTGACCTGAGGTGATCTGCCCACCTCGGCCTCCCAGAATGCTGGGATTACAGGCATGCGCCACAATGCCCAGCCCATATCAGCATTGTAACTTTTTAAATGTATTATGAGTTTTTTGAGACTGAGTTTCACTCTTGTCGCCTAGGTTGGAGTGCAGTGGCATGATCTCAGCTCACTGCGACCGCCGCCTCCCGGGTTCAAGTGATTCTCCTGCCTCAGCCTCCCGTGTAGCTGGGATTAGAGGCGCCAGCCACCATGCCCGGTCAATTTTTTGTATTTTTAGTAGAGATTGTTTTTTGTCATGTTGGGCAGGCTGGTCTCTTTTTTTTTTTTTTTTTGAGACGGAGTCTTGCTCTGTCGCCCAGGCTGGAGTGCAGTGGCCGGATCTCAGCTCACTGCAAGCTCCGCCTCCCCGGTTCACGCCATTCTCCCGCCTCAGCCTCCCGAGTAGCTGGGACTACAGGCGTCCGCCACATCGCCCGGCTAGTTTTTTGTATTTTTTAGTAGAGACGGGGTTTCATCGTGTTAGCCAGGATGGTCTCGATCTCCTGACCTCGTGATCCACCCGTCTTGGCCTCCCAAAGTGCTGGGATTACAGGCTTGAGCCACTGCGCCCAGCCGGGCAGGCTGGTCTCTAACTCCTGACCTCAGGTGATCCTCCCGCCTCAGCCTGCTAAAGTGCTGGGATTACAGGCGTGAGCCACCACCTCCGGCCTAAATTTATTATTTTTGAGGCAGGGCCTCACTCCTATGCCCAAGCTGGAGTGCAGCCTCGATCTCCGGAGCTCAGGTGATTCTCCCATCTCAGTCTGACCACCGCCAGTAGCTGGGACTACAGGCGTCCACCACCACGCATGGCTAATTTTTTTGTAGAAACAGTTTTGCCATGTTGCCCAGTTTGGTCTTGAACTCCTGGGCTCAAGCAATCCTCCCACCTCACCCTTCCAAAGTGCTGGGATTACAGGCATAAGCCACCACGCCTATCTGTCTTTTATTATTTTTGAGATGGGATCTTGCTCTGTTGCCCAGGCTGGAATGCAGTGGTGCAATCTCGACTCACTACAGTCTCACCCTCCCTCCTCAGCCTCTCAAGTAGCTGGGATCACCTGGCTTTTAATCAGCCAGGTGTGCGACACCACACCTGGCTGATTAAAAAAAAAAAAAAAAATCCTTTAGAAATGGGGTCAGACTGTTGCCTAGGCTGGTCTGGAACTTCTGGGCTCAAGCAATCCTCCCACCTCAGCCTCCCGAAGCGCTGGGATTACAGTCATGCGCCACCATGCTGTCCCATATCAGCATTTTTGAAGAGTCCCTCTGATAGCTGAGTATGAAAGAGATGAGACAGGCACCCAGGGAGGGGGGAGGAGCTGGGGCCCAGGTGGGAACTATTAATTCAGAGCTAATTGGACATATTCATTCATTTTTACCGAGCATCTGCTGTGTGCCGGGCACTCATCCATTCATCTTCATTGAACCCCTACTGTGTGTCAGGCACTATGCTGGGTATTGGAGCACATCAGTAAGACCTACTCAGCCTTGCCCATTGGGCGTCCACAGTCCAGTGGAGAGATAGACATGTCACTGGGCAGTTACATCATCGGTGGTCAACAGCTGTGATGGAGGGGCATATGGGACTCTGAGGGGTCTCAGAGGGAAGGCTTCCTGGAGGAAGAGCCTACTAAGAATAGATGGGGAAAGATACTGGAAAAGAAGGAACTGCAGGAAGAGTGAGGGGACGCAATGAGGGTTCTCATAAGAAAATGCCATAAACTGGCCGGGAGTGGCTCATGCCTGTAATCCCAGCACTTTGGGAGGCTGAGGCAGGCAGATTACCTGAGCTGAGGAGTTTGAGACCAGCCTGGCCAACATGGAAAAACCCCGTCTCTACTAAAAATATAAAAAAGTAGGTGGGTGTGGTGGCATGCACCTGTAGTCCCAAGCTACTCGGGAGGTTGAGGCACGAGAATCGCTTGAACCCAGGAGGCAGAGGTTGCGGTGAGCAGAAGTTGCGCCACTGCGCTCCAGCCTGGGCGACAGAGAGAGACTCTGTCTCAAACAAACAAACAAACAAAATGCCATATATTAAGTGGCTTAAAGAAGATGTTTGTTTCTCAGCGTTCTGGAGGCTGGACGTCCGAGAGCAGGGTGCCTGCATGGTCAGGTTATGGCGAGGGCCCTCTTCCTGGCTTGCAGATTTCTGGCTTCTCTCTGCATCCTCACAGGGCAGAGAGAGCTAGGGAGTTCTTTTGTATCTCTTCATATAAGCATACTAATCCCATCATAGAGACCCCCACCCTGACAACCTCATCTAACCCTAATCATCTCCCAAAGGCTCCATCTCCAAATACCCTTCTGCTATGGTTAGGCTTTGTGTCTCCACCCAAATGTCAGCTTGAATTGTAATCCCGTAATGCCCACATGTCATGGGAGGGACTGGTGGGAGGTAAGTGAATCATGGGGGATGGTTTCCCCTTCATGCTGTTCTCGTGATAGTGAGTGAGTTCTCACGAGATCTGATGACTGGGAGCAATGGCTCACGCCTGTAATCTCAGCACTTTGGGAAGCTGAAGCGGGCAGATCACCTAAGGTCAGGAGTTCGAGACCAGCCTGGCCAACATGGTGAAACCCTGTCTCTAGTAAAAATACAAAAAAAAAAAAAAAAAAAATATTAGCTGGGCATGGTGGCATACACCTGCAGTCCCAGCTACTGGGGAGGTTAAATAGAATTGCTTGAACTCGGGAGGCGGAGGTTGCAGTGAGCTGAGATGACACCACTGCACTCCAGCCTGGATGACAGAGCTAGATTCTGTCTCAATCAATCAGTCAGGGAGATCTGATGGTTTTATAAGGGAGTCTCCCTTTGCTGGTCTCTCTCTCTCTCTCTCTCCTGCTGCCCTGTAAAGAGGTGCCTTCCATCATGGTTGTAAGTTTCCCGAGGCTACCCCGAGCCATGTGAAAATGTGAGTCAATTACACCTCTTTATAAATCGCCCAGTATCAGGTATGTCCCTATAGCATCATGAGAATGGACTAATACAGCCGGGCGCGGTGGCTCACGCCTGTAATCCCAGCACTTTGGGAGGCCGAGGCGGGCGGATCACAAGGTCAGGAGATCGAGACCATCCTGGCTGACACGGTGAAACCCCGTCTCTACTAAAAAATAGAAAAAAATTAGCCGGGCGCAGTGGCGGGCGCCTGTAGTCCCAGCTACTCGGGAGGCTGAGGTAGGAGAATGGCGAGAACCCGGGAGGCGGAGCTTGCAGTGAGCCGAGATTGCGCCATTGCACTCCAGCCTGGGGCACAGAGCGAGACTCCGCCTCAAAAAAAAAGAAAAAAAAGAGAATGGACTAATACACCTCCCATTGGGGTTAGGGCTTCATGATATGAATTTTGGGGAGACAGAAACATTCAGTTCAGGCCGGGTGCAGTGGCTCAGCCTGTAATCCCAGCACTTCGGGAGGCCAAGGCGGGTGGATTACTTGAGGTCAGAAGTTCAAGACCAGCCTGGCCAACATGGCAGAACCTTGTCTCTACTAAAACTACACAAATCAGTCAGGCATGGTGGCACATGCCTGTAAATCCAGCTACTCGGGAGGTTGAGGCAGGACAGTTGTTTGAACCTGGGAGGCAGAGGTTGCACTGAACTCCAGTCTGGGCAACAAAGTGAGACTCCGTCGCAAAAATTATAATAATAGGCTGGGCGTGGTGGCGTATGCCTGTAATCCCAGCACTTTTGAGAGGCCACAGTGGGCGGATCATGAGGTCAGGAGTTTGAGACCAGCCTGGCCAGCATGGGGAAACCCCGTCTGTACTGAAGATACAAAAAATTAGCCGGGCGTGGTGGTGGGCACCTGTAATCCCAGCTACTAGGGAGGCTGAGGTAGGAGAATCACTTGAACCCTGGAGGCAGAGGTTGCAGTGAGCTGAGATCGCGCCATTACACTCCAGCCTGGGCAACAGGGTGAGACTTCATCTCAAAAAAAAAAAAAAAAAGTAAAATATAATAATAGTAAAAACGGCCGGGCGCGGTGGCTCAAGCCTGTAATCCCAGCACTTTGGGAGGTCGAGACGGGCGGATCACGAGTTCAGGAGATCGAGACCATCCTGGCTAACACGGTGAAACCCCGTCTCTACTGAAAAATACGAAAAACTAGCCGGGCGAGGTGCAGGCGCCTGTAGTCCCAGCTACTTGGGAGGCTGAGGCAGGAGAATGGCGTAAACCCAGGAGGTGGAGCTTGCAGTGAGCTGAGATCCGGCCACTGCACTCCAGCCTGGGCGACAGAGCGAGACACCGTCTCAAAAAAAAAAAAAAAAAAGTAAAAACAAAGAAACATTCCGTTCATAACCAGGGAGGACCCTGAGGCAGTGGTGAGGAATGCGGGCTTTATCCCAAAGGTGATGGGGTCCGGAGCAGGGAGGAACAGGCGCCGTGGTCCTCAGTTCCGTAATCACCTCCCTCTTGCCTTCTTGCCAGTGAGATTGCCACACTCCAGGAGCAGCTGATGACCTCAGAGGCCACTGTCCACAGCCTGCAGGCCGCCGTGCACCAGAGGGACAAACTCATTAGGCAGTTGCAGCCCCGGGCTGAGCTGCTGCAGGACATCTGCCGCCGCCGACCACCCCTGGCCGGGCTGCTGGCTGCCCTGGCTGAGGCTGAGCGCCTGGGGCCCGTGCCAGCCAGTGACCCCGGCCACCCACCCCCCGGTGGGCCTGGTCCACCCCTTGCCAATAGCACTGGGGAAGAGGCAGACAGGGACCCCCTCCAGCCTGCGGTGTTTGGGACCACAGTGTGAGCCCGGAATGCAGATTCCAGAATGGAGACAGCCACTGCTGTCGATGTCCTTGGGAGTCACCAGCGTCCTGCAGGGGGACCCCATGGCAGAGCCACAGTCCTGTCTAAGCATCAGAATGGGCTAAACAGTCAAAGTTTTCAAATAGGCAACAGGCCAGATGCAGACGTTTAACCCAGACAGAAGTGTTCTCGTTTGTTTGTTTTTAAACTTTGAATCAGTCACCCTTGCTAAAAACCTGGCAACGCAAACACAAAGATCTGGATTTCTGGCAAGACTTGGCCATGCTTGCCTGGAGTCCAGGGCACCCTCTTTAGCCAGGGTGTGAGTTTCTGTTGGTCTTTTTTTTTTTTTTTTGAGACAGAGTCCCACTCTGTCACCCTGGCTGGAGTGCAGTGGTGTGATCTTGGCTCACTGCAACCTCCACCTTCTGGGTTCAAGCGATTCTCCTGCCTCAGCCTCCCAAGTAGCTGGGATTACAGATGCGCACCACCACGCCCAGCTAATTTTTGTATTTTTAGTAGAGATGGGGGTTTCACCATGTTGGCCAGGGTGGTGTTGAACTCCTAGCTTCAAGTGATCTGCCTGCCTAGGCCTCCCAAAGTCCTGGGATTACAGGTGTGAGCCACCGTGCCTGGCCTCTGTTGGTCTTACCTTTCTTAGTTTGTCTGGCCCCTGAAGCACCTGAATTGAGACTTATCTCTTTTTCTGTCTGGTGAATGCAAATGGTATCAAGTTCCCCATTATTTGAGTTTTTCTCCTTTTTTCTGGGGGGGCGGGGAGCTGCCCTGATTCTTGTTCCTACTGAAGCAGCCCTGATCCCAGGACTAATGCATTTTCTTACTTTTCTATCCCACACCAGAATTGGGAGGCTCCAGCCAATAAAGACAAATTTATTTTTATTTATTCTTTACAGAGACAGGGTCCCACTGTGTCGCCCAGGCTGGGGTGCAGAGGTGTGATCATAGCTCACTGCAGCCTTGAACTCCTGGGCTCAAGAGATCCTCCCACCTCAGCCTCCCGAGTGGCTGGGACTACAGGCATATGTCCCCATGCCCGGCTAATTATTTTATTTTTTTAAAGTTTTTCTGAGACGGAGTCTCCCTCTGTCACCCAGGTTGGAGTGCGGCGGTGCGATCTCGGCTCACTGCAACCTCCGCCTCCTGGGTTCAAGTGACTCTCCTGCCTCAGCCTCCTGAGTAGCTGGGATTGCAGGCACGCACCACCATGCCTGGCTAATTTTTAAAATTTTAGTAGAAACAGGCTTTCGCTATATTGCCCAGGCTCAAGCGATCTTATGAGCCACCACACCACACCCAGCTTCATTTTATTTTCTTTACTGAACTTGTTACCGTCAGAGTGTAAGCTCTCTGAGGGCAGGAATTTTTGTCTTGTTCTCTGTTTGTCACCAGTGCCTGACACACCCCAGGAAGAACAGGATGGGTCTGTGGGCTCCTAAAGGGAGCCAGGGGACCCCTAGTACATCTGCTGACATGATGAGGCCCCCTCGAGCCAGCCTAGCTTTTTTTTTTTTGAGATGGAGTCTGGCTCTGTGACGCAGGCTGGAGTGCAGTGGTGTGATCTTGGCTCACTGAAACCTCTGCCTCCCAGGTTCGAGCAATTCTCCTGTCTCATCCTTCAGAGTAGTTGGGATTACAGGCGCCCACCACCACAGCCGGCTAATTTTGTATTTTTAGTAGAGACGGGGAGCGGGGAGGGGCTTTCACCATGTTGACCAGGCTGGTCTCAAACTCCTGACCTTAGGTGATCTACCCGTCTCGGCCTTCAAAAGTGCTGTGATTGTAGGGGTAAGCCACCGTGCCCGGCCCTAGCCTAGCTTTTGTAGCACGCAACTGTCTCCTTTTTATACGCCCTAAAGAATCTATTTTTGAACTCCTTGTTTCTGCGCTGTCCTTCTTAGTCCAAGACATTCACGGTGCTTTACTTGTTGTCAAACCAGGGAAAGGAGAAAACTCCCGTGCCTTTCGGGGCCAGCCATTCCCCCACCTCCTCACTCAGGGAACTGTCACACCAGGAACCGCCGAGGGGCACAGCCTGTTTCAGACCAGAAAGGTTGGAGGCCACCCACGGCCCTCAGGATGGCGCCTGCCTGCCTGCCTGGCAACAGTGACCCCTCAGTGCAGTGACAATGGGCCCATTTTCTCCTCTGGATGAACAAGGAGGGGGGTTGTTTGTACAAAGGAAAGGCAGGCTGGGGCCTATCTGTGCTCAAGAATAAACCGGATGATTTCCTGGCCTGGGTCCTTCATCCTTTCATCCTGGCTTGGGGGCAAGAGGGAGGCCCTCTGTGTTATCTGTGCCTCATGGTGGGGTCCTGCTGGGCCAGGTAGAATCTAGGGAGTGTGCGCAAAGCACTCTCTACACCGATTGTGTCTAATCTTCGAGTTCCCTGTAGACATAGGCTTTGTCCTCATTTTACAGCTGTGGAAAGTGAGGCCCAGGCCAGGTGTGGGGCTCACGCCTGTAATCCCAGCACTTTGGGAGGCTGTGATGGGTGGATCACCTGAGGTCAGGAGTTCGAGACCAGCCTGGCCAACATGGTGAAACCCCGTCTCTCCTAAAAATACTGAAATTAGCCAGGTGTGGTGGCAGGCGCCTGTAATCCCAGCTACTCAAGAAGAATTGCTGGAACCCGGGAGGTGGAGGCTGCAGAGTGGAGATCGCACCACTGCACTCCAGCCTGGGCAACAGAGTGAGACTCGGTCTCAGAGAAAAAACAAAAAACATTAACAGCAACAACAACAACAAAAAAACCAGAGGCCCAGAGGTGTGAAGGGAACACACTCCAGGTCTGGAGGGCCAGGGCCACTTTTCAATTTTGGGGGAAGTTATTGCTCAAATTCTGTTTTCTTTATTTTTGTTTTTAAAGAGACAAAAGTCTCACTGTTGCCCAGGCTGGAGTGCAATGGTGTGATCACAACTCACTGCAGCCTCAAAATCCTGGGTTCGGCTGGGCACAGTGGCTCACACCTATAATCTCAGCACTTTGGGAGGCCAAAGCAGATGGATCACCTGAGGCTGTTATACCCAGACCGTTTGTTCCCCAAAGAAGACCACCAGAGTCCAGAGTCAAAGCCAAGCGGCAAGGATCTTTACTACAAGTTCGAACTTGGTCCCTCCATTCTACAGCATACAAGAGGGCCTCGAACAATGCGAGTGCTTGCTTTTTATAGCCCGATGTAAACAGGATATGTAAAGTTACAGGGAACAAGGTAGTTCTCTTGGTTACTGCATTACAATTGGTTAACATTATACATTTAGCATTCCTTATCGGAGATCTCCCAGGTGATGTTTTTCTGAAGTTTGAAAGAAATATGGAGGAATGTGTTTGTGCTGGGCTCAGGAAGTTGGGAGATATATGGGGGATGTGCCTCATTCCTTTCATTCCCCCCTTCTTTTCAGGTAACTCTAGAGCCAATCTTGGGTCTTATAAGTTTGACTCTGTTTCAGCGTTTACAGGTTGGTATTGGGCTCTGAGGACTATGAGCTGAACAGTGTCAAACCTTTCTCTGACAAACTGCAAAATTCTGTTAACAACACAAGGTCCTACGGTTAGCAGAAATAGTAGACTTAGCAGGGGTCCAAGGAAGGGGGCTAACAGAGAAAACATAGAGGAATTCCACCATTGGTCTGCAGCTGAAGCAAACTGCCGTGTTTTTACTTCAGTGGTTAACTTGCGTAACTGTTGGACCCGGTCTTCTACAAGCCCTGATTCATTTATGTAGAAACAACAGTCTTCTTTTAGAAACATACATGTACCACCTTTTTCAGCAGTGAGTAGGTCTAGGGCCCTCCGGTTCTGCAAGGTTACCTGAGCTAGGGACGTGAGCTGCCGCTGAAGGGAGGCAAGGGACTCAGCCGACTCCTCCATAGCAACGGCAAATTGTTGGTACCACTTGTTGCTTTCTATGAGGGTGTGACCTAGGGCTCCCCCCGCCATCCCGGCCGCAATGAGGGATGCGGTGAGGGAGATTCCTGCAATGAGGGGGAGAAATATGGCTCGTGCAGGTCTCAGTCTAGGGACTGGGTGAATAGCAGTACTAGTCCAGTTACCGGTGTACCCTAGGAACTCGCCAGCAGTTAGTAGAGTCAATCGGGGAACTAATGTGACAGGAAGACACAGTAGGTTGGTAACAGAGGGACTAGATAGGTCCTTAGATAATGTCCCATTACACCAGAAGAATATGCCCGGCAGAGCCCTTAGGGTGATATTAGGGGGCACTGTAGTGATGCTGCAGAGGCTGGAATTGGTTCCTGAGAAGCAGTAGGGAAACTTCTCCTGACTGGGGTTTAGGTATAGGGGCACGTTTAGGATAGGGGCATATGAGAGGTTTCGGAGGTTGTTAGCTTGGGCAGAGGTAGAGGATCCCCATGGCAGAGGGACAGCGGTTAGCGGTGGACGCCCTAGGGTGGCACACAGCAGCCAGACAGGCTGTGAAGTCCTGTAAGGTTAGCAAGCTCTAGTCCTTCTTGTAATCATTTTAACCAGGAGAAAGGACGTAAGTCTTGTGTTAGTCTGTTTTCCTGTCGTTGGATATTCCCGTGGACCAGGGGCAGTACTTGCACTAGGCCTCGCCACAGATAGTGGTGACTGCTAGGCCATGTGGAGGAGGGGGAGTAGTATACAGCCCCATGGTGAGGCGTGGTCCAGCGGGAGTTCCAGGGGTCTCTAACTATCTATGTATATGAAAAGTCTCCATCCCGTCTACGATGGAAGGGCCACTTAGGGTCCAACTGTTCTTCCTCTCCCCAGTAATGGGACCTATGGATGTTACAATAGTTATAAGGACAGCAGGTATTTTGGTGCCACCAATAGTGTTTACAATTGTATTCAGTCTGATCAAACTCAAAACATATTATTGGTGTCACTGGTTTGGCTATTTGAAAGCCAGTAAAATTTAGTAAGATTGGGCTATTGCACCCTGACGAGGGGCAATCAGCACTGGCCAATAATTTCCCGGGCTTATGAGGTTGTCCAGGGTGGGTTCGGTTTTCATAAAGCCAGAATCTCCAGACAAAGGGATTAGATGCTGGTTTGGTGTTTTCCCCAGCGGCCACTAGGGCGGCTAACGTTAGGGCTAGACTACCTAACTGCATGTTTGCAGTGAGCTATGCTGCCGGCGCAGGGTGAGTTTTAAGGGGTTGTTCTGGCCGGGCGCGG